CCACTAATGACGCTCCCTGACGCACACCTAACATTTGATTGTACTATTTTTGCATTCAAATGCAAATGTTTAAAATTTGACTAATATAAATTTTTTTTATTCACAATCTCATCACAGGCAGGCACAGTACTCAATTCAGCATGTGTTCATGTTTGTGTGTGCAGTCTGCGTCACTCATAGCACGTGCATATATCGTGTGCTATATCGAACATTTTTTCTATCGTTATCGAAGAGAGTCAAACATGGTGGTGGTAGTGTGATGCTCTGGGGCTGCTTTGCAGCTTCAGGACCACCACGACTTGCCATAATTGACGGAACCATGAATTCTGCACTCTATCAGATATATATATATATATATGAAATAATTACAATTACGCAGGTTGTATATGTTAAATAATTAGTCAATAAAATATACACAACTGCAGCGATTAAATTATTTCACACAATATTAATTTTACTCACTTAAAAATAACATTTGGACAGAAAAATCAAGTGTGGTGATAGTTCTGGCAGGTCACGTGATTCAAGCTTGCATCAGCTGATCAATGTCTACCTATAGGAATACGACGCCTATCACGGCATTCCTAGATAAGGTCTATTCAGAATTATTCAGCAGCTTTATCGCTTGCTCAAGAGCAAATCAGACGGCAAATTTGGCGAATTCCATCTCTATAGGAAGCGTTCAATCAGGAATTTTGTGAAAGAGGTTCGGAATGATTACATACACACGGTTCAAGCATTGAGCTGCAAGCTTGAAATTGACCGGAGCGAGTACTGCTTCTCGCAGCGATATATCATTGACATGGACTCTTTGCCCGCAAATCATCGCTGAAGTTGTGCTATAATGTGACTGCATCAATAACAGTTTACATGAGATCTGGAAGGAGTAAGATATCAAGAAGGGGATGAAGCATCCACGTCACAGCTGGCTATATTTCACCCTTTATTCATCTCTAATGTCTTCACGAAGCTAAGCCAAGTTTCTTCTTTTATTCTCATTGCTTAAAGCTATCAGGGTATTGGCAAATATTGATCATTGTTTAAGGCTAGTTGTTCAGTGACATGCTTGTTGCTAGGCATGCTAAACAGTTATGGATACAAATATGGATATTTTTTTAAATATGGAAAAACGCATCGACTCGCTACAGAAGGCCTTTATTCACCCCCTGGAGCCGTGTGGAGCACTTTTTATTATGGGTGGATGTGGTTTATTGGACTTCTTTTGGACTGTTGAACTGAAACACCTGCCTACTGCCATTATAAAGTTTGGAAAACCCAAGACCATTTTTAATATAATAAATAAAAAAATAATAAATAAAATAATAAAATAATAAAACTCAGATTGGATTCGTCTGAAAGAGGAAAGTCATATACACCTAGGATGGCTTGAGGGTGAGTAAATCATGGGCTAATTTTCATTTTTGGGTGAACTATCCCTTTAACCATCTCAAATTGTCCAGATATCATTAGATTGTGAATGCCTGTTTCTCACCGGGTATCTTGTCTTTAGCGGTGATGGTGTTGTCGTGTGTTGAGATCTCCTCTGCTTTACTGGTCAGCGGTGCTGCTCCTCCATCTTTGACCGGTTCACTGTTTCGAACCGGAGTTTTGTTCTCCTGGTTTTGCTGACGGCCTTCACTCGGCTGGGGCTTCCCTTTCCCCCTCTCGCCAGAGTTAGTTCTGCCCGTCAGCCTGCGGGCTTTGCCCTTCCCCGGCTCCTGAGGGCTGCCGGTGCGGGTCCTGAAAGCGCTGGGGCCGCCCTTGATCTCCTCTTTCACCCTGGGGATGGCGTCCTTGCTTCGGCTCGGGACTTTGGCGCTCTCCCGCTGGGGTTTGGAGGACGGCGTCTTGCCCCCGCTCGAGCGGGAAGTTTTGACCACTTTCACGGGGCTTTTGGGGTCCTCCATGCCACTCTACTGCTCTCCGGACGAGACTGAAGAAAAGCCCGAAGGGCTCTGGGTTGAAGGTTTCTGGAGCGGAAACATGACAGAATCAGATTGTGGGGATCCAAAAATATTTGTGCATGGAAAGTTGAAGAAATCAGGAAGAATCTGGCAATATTGGGAAGTGAATACTAGCTTAGTACTTGCTACATTTTGCACATTTAATTCAATGAGTGGCATCTAGTCATGATCTCGGAAATATTATTGATATAATTACATATATTAATTTTATTCTAATTAAATAATGCAAATATTACATTTAGACATGTAAAGGGAGAGTCAAAAAAGCATACATATATACTAGGGATGTTCATTTCGGTTATTTTTCCTAACCCACAACCGATGCTCGTTAACCGATTATTAACCGACAAGATTATTTTAAATTCGAATTTAATTAAATTAGAAAGGAAACGTGTCTGTGACTCGTTGAAAAATACTAACATTTGTTTCCCGGGAATTAATTTTACATAATCACGTCTTCATATCACATCACGCACCTGCAGCGCTTCTGCGAGCAGAGAAAAACATAATAAAGCTAGGCTATAGGCCTATATATATATAACGATAAATAGGCCTATACGAGAAATATATTTTTACTTGAATAATAAATGAAGAAAACGAAAGAAAAACTGTGCAAGTAGCAGCCTAGTATGCAGAGTTTCAGTTCATTTTTGTGCTCCGCGAAAGGAAACGAGACGGCAGAAAGCAGCATCCTATTTTTCTTTAGGCTTATTTTACAAAAGCACAAAGATTTGTTTTTATTGTGAATGTACACAAATAAAGGCAAACCTTTTACAATTCCGATTATCAGGCCTATTTCTGAATGAAATAATAAAATGCGACTTAGACGTTGTTTTTTTCCTCTAAAAAACGATTTTTTTTTTTAAATACGCGTAGCGTATTTCAATCATG